CTCGCAGTGCAAGGAAGGGGCTTTCACTGGTTTATGAAGAACAGAGCTCAAGTGAAAACCCGTCTGCCAGGGACGGGCTGAACTGGGCCTCGCGGCCTCCAGCCAGCCAGATGATGAATATTTGAGGCAATGGCCGGCAGCGTCGGTGGCACGGTCGCCATCCGTTCCCGTTATGTGACGTGTCGCACGTGGTGGCGGTGGTACGCAGCTCATCAGAGCAGGCCGGTCGTCCTGCTCTCAGAGAGCCGTCCGCTGGCGGGCGCCGGTGACTCACGCCTCAGGAGGTAGGTCCAGAGTCAGGGGTAGCAGCCACTCTTGGCGTCCACTGGGGCTGCGAATAACCGTGTGCCGTTGCTGCAGGTGCCGCACGATCACATCGCATACCGGTACGAAATCCTGGAGGTCATCGGCCGCGGGAGCTTCGGCCAGGTCATCCGTGCTCTTGATCACAAGACGAACACTCAGGTGGCCATCAAGATCATCAGGTACTGGCAGCCAGGGACGATACAAGCAGCAGATACTATATACTTCGATACTTCGGAACGAAAGCTTCCCTTTTTAGTTCAAGGTGCTTTTCAGATGGTGGTGTCTTTGCATATTTTTGTACCGTGCATGGCAACAACACAAATTATTCGCAGTATTTTTGGAAATTAAATTACAAATAATTGTGCCGAGGTGAAAATTGGACAATGTTACACACGCCGGCATCACTTTTGTGATGTTAGCGGCATCGCTTTGATGCCGTCCCTCAGAAACATTGTCTACTGATCCCACACCAGAAGGGATAAAGAATAATCTGGTTCTGGACGATAAGCTCGCAGGCCATGTGAGACTTTTATGAGTCAATAATTTAAACTGTTTCCATATAGACGAAGGGAATTTTCGACACTTGACGATATTGAGGCAAGTACCAGTTATGATGGAAAAGGACCACTTGTAGCTATTGGTATGTTTTGAAGTGTCAGAGACTTCAATCCATAGCTCCGGATAATGGAATCCCACCTATTTAGTACACATAAATATGCCCCTCAAGACATCATCGCTTGATTGCGTAATGTCAAATTTTCATGACGGCAGAGTCGCTGTCAGACCCACTGTATTGAGGAGGCAGTCTTTGTTTGACGCTCATATGACGTCATGCACCTCTGGGTGGCCCCAACTTCGGGGACGCGACATAGTTAACGCTGTTTCGCGCGCGGCTAGCTCAGAAACGCGAGGAAATTAATGTTTTCCAAGAGGCATGCCTGTGACGTGCAGGGAATGATCGTGAGAATGACTCCTTCAGTTCAAACCCACATACAAATATGGAACAGTCCCTTTCACTAGTACGGCTGGGCCCCGTGAAGTCAACTGACGCTTATTTTGTACGTATAATTACATATGCCAACAGGTAAGGCTTTCGTAAACCCATACATTCCACCACTAAGTTCTAAGGCTCTCCTCAAATGATAAGGCCTTCTGAGGTTGATCATATGCCTTATCTCGAAACAACTTAGCAGTGACTTAAACGATTCGAACGCAAGTTATAGGTGGACATACTGACCTACCACCTAATCCTTGAATTCATCCTCTGGCACACGCAGTACCGCATCAGGCGGGATGTGCTGAGACAAAATGCACCTCCATAATATCACTAGCACCAAGGGTGTATCATTTTTACCCGGTCATTATGCAATGGATGTTTCGCCCATCAATTCGACACGATTGATTGAGAAGCTTCTATTCCCGGACGAGCGGGATTAAGGAGGACATCCGCGTGCAAAACACTTAGCTGGAATTGGTTCGTCCTGTCGAATAAGCACGGGAATTGCTGTGGACACAAAATTTCACTTCAAGGTTAGGCACCAGAGGCGAGGACTAGAGGCAATGTCGGCTGTTCGGAAAGCAATGTAGCGATGATCCCATTTAAATTCATGAGCAGCTGACGAGCGCTCGTACCTCTCCGAGTGTTCTGCGCAGTCCTCGGTCTAGTTATACAAATGTATTACGTTTCATCGTGTGTCCTGATTTCCTCCACAAACAATTGGCCTTCGCGCTTTTGATTCTGACCTGACCCACTGTCATGTTGTGTTAAGATGATAACATGTTTATACTATTTCTGAACCATGCACACTAATACAACAGCCGGATTTATTTTTGTGTACAAGCTTGTTAGTTAGTGTTAGCAAGTGTTGGCAAGTGTTAGCAAGCTTGCTCGTTAACTGGCGTAAGCGGGCACTGGGGTGGACAGTATAACACACTGCGACACCCACATTTTGTTGTTGTTTTGCCTGTCAGTTCAGTGAGAAAGCTTACGCAATTTGCGCAGCCTTGGTTTGTATGGATATTACTTGAAAGAATGTGGCTGGTTTCTTCGGGCTCTGCTAGCTTAGAGACCGCAGCCCAGAAAGGGAGGGCTAAAACTGACCCTGACCTGTACATGAGTTAGGCGCTGCTGCGGTCTGACCGGTAGCCCTCAATCATGCACTCATCCCTACTGACTACAGCAACCAGACTACGATCAATACAGGCTCCACCGCCGAGTTCCATCAGCACATGCCTCCAGCACTGCCCGTTAGCTGTCTCCTGCAACGGAGCCTCGCGCTCTCTCAGGAAGCTGAGAAGCTTAGCGAGAATGGCCCATTTATCTACACGCGCGCGCTGAACTGTCGCCGGCTCTTCGGGTCAGCGCGCTCCCGGTATTTACACGTTGTCCACCAACAGACAATGCTCTGGAATAGATGGTGGCTAGGGGCATGGCGGAGTAGCATCCAGCGTTTACAACGTGGCGTCGGGTAATATAGTGGCAAGGTGACTTAATCAACACTTGCATAGGAACATAGTTTCAGCACGTGAGGCTTCTTAAGCTGGACAGTCATGCAATTCACGGACATCTTCATGACAGATCCTTCGCAAACAATCGCAAACGGTGTCAGTGTCTGCGAGAATAATTGGTTTCGTTCCTCCTCAAGCAGAAAAAGACTGCTTATACATGTTGTGCTACTGCCTGGATGGATCAAGCTAAAACCGGGGATCAGTTCCAGTAGAAAAAGCCCACAAATGCGTCAATGGCCTGCTTGATTGTTTACCAGACTGACCTCTTTGTCGCACTCACAGGAACAAGAAGAGGTTCCACCAACAAGCTCTCATGGAGGTAAAAATCCTTGACCACCTCCGCCGTCGAGACAAGGACGGCAGCTACAACATCATTCACATGCTGGACTACTTTTACTTTCGCAACCATCTGTGCGTGACCTTCCAGCTGATGGGGTGAGTTACGCTGTTGTTTAACAGTAGACTAAAACGTCTTGCACCTATAGTGTTCTCTTTTCTTTATTAGCATTACAACTCGACGAGCATTGTCGTGTCTATGAGGGCATGAGACAGCAGCTTTGCACGTACATATCGGCCACTTTTACCATAAATCACTCTCTGGCTGTCGCGGTAAGTAGATCGTTTGAGACTGGATTACCAAGAGCAACAAATGGCGGCATGCAGTGATATTTTCCACCCGCGGAATACCATCAAGTGGACTGAGGTCCAGGGATGGCGAGCCGTCCCTGACATTCTGCATTGGCGCCTGCTGCAGACTGAACTTGTTTGAGCTGATCAAGAAGAACAACTACCAGGGCGTCTCGATGTCGCTCATCCGCAAGTTCGCCTCGTCCATGATCCAGTGCCTGAGACTGCTGTACAAGGAGGGCATCATTCACTGCGATCTCAAACCAGTGAGAAAATCTACTGAAACCAGCCAGCATTGCTTACATTGCATCGTTTGCCAAACTTCCATTCAAGTGACAGGTGTCCAGTAAACACATTTCGCACAACCATGCTTGAAGATGCGGTCAAGATACGCAATAAGATATCCTGGTCACAAAATAGGATATTAGATGGCTTCGTTCTCTACCAACTTTATTTTGTCATTTTGTTTATGTATACATAACGGCGATTATTACAAACGCGTGAAATTTGAATTGATGCCCGTTGTGATATATCTCATGCGCTCCTCTTATCACCTTGCTTTCATGGATGATATATAAGTATTGCCTCTTTAACAGCATTCAAAACTGGAGGGGGATAACATCCTTTCCCACCGTAACGCTGTCTGCCATTTCAGGAAAACGTCCTTCTCAAGTCACGCAGCTCGTCCAGCATCAAGATCATTGACTTCGGCAGCTCGTGCTACACCCACCAGCGGGTGTACACGTACATCCAATCGCGCTTCTACCGCTCACCCGAGGTCATCTTGGGCCTGCAGTACGGCACGGCCATCGACATGTGGAGCTTGGGTGAGAGGCACGGGCTGGCCTGCAACCGACCACTACTGCACAAATCAGCCGACCTGCCTGCCTCACTTCCTGATAACACCAGCAGTGGCACCGATGTTGCCAATCATGTCGCTATGTGTCTTGCGATCCAGGACTGCGGATCCTATATCTTGCAATGAAATAGGGGTGCTAATGTTTCGAAACAGCACACTTGTGAGGAAATCAGAGCACCAGGGTGATATCAATCGTCGCAGTAGCGCATATTCCTTTCCCTCCCACGATGATTCCATTAAACGGAGCAATCATTTTACTTCGCGGCGATCATCACTGGCACGCGCCCACCAGTTTGACCATAGTCGGCAAAGACCGATCCGCTGGCGGAAGATCGCGGCTGGCCTCGATCTGTCTGCGCTTAATTGCCGGAGGCGCGGATCGAACCACGGTCAATACCGGAGCCGACTTGTGACGACGCGCCGTGGGCGGTATCGCGGCCACAACCGCAGGCGTTGGCGATCGACGTGGTCCTGACCCGAGGACGCCGCTCTGGCCCGAGGTCACGACCTGCTCGGCAGCGGCCCCGTCACACTATGTGCCCGCTGAAAGGGCGCCAGGCTGCTCCGAATCTTCGAGCCGCGCGTCGCGAAAGCGAATGTCAAATCCGGCCGCGCGCGCCAGCAGAGCGGGCCGCGCCGGTCGCCGCAGATACCGGTCAGATCGGCGCCCGTGGGCCGGCGGACCGAGCTGTGTCAGGCCGCTCAGAATCCGGTCGGATCTCCGTGTACGGAGGGTCGGGGCCGGACAGCGAGTAAGATCGATGGAGTGGCCGGCGCCGGCTGCACGGCCGGTCCTGATGCACGCCGTATCGGCTCGGCGATCGCCGCCGCCTGCTCTCTGCTCACCGGAGCTGCACGAGATTTCAGGTCCCATGTCAGCGCGCAATGCATCTTACTTATGACATAGAGGCATACCCTTTCAGATATGCCGTGGTCTAATTCTCACTGTATATCTACATGTAGCATATTGCTGTGTATTGACAGACAGCGTTCATCTTTTTGACGTGTGGCTTTCAGAATAACTTGCCCCCCCCCCCTAATCCAGACAAACTAGCAAAAAAATGTGAGGATCACAGGAGTTCCAGCACTTTTTGCAATGAGTATGACAATTAAAACTGAATCGGTTAACTGTCCTGAGCTATGTGAACCCACGACAATCTGAAACTGATGCAAACTTTCAATGCTTAAGTTGACTTACACGTGATGTAGGTATTTAATATCACATATATTTATATCACATAGATATGTATATTTTATATCACATATATATTTAAGATCACAATTTGTGGTCTTAGAGTATTACATATTATATTATGAATCAGATTTCTACGGTGACTGTCGTACCATGGGCATGATACCATAGATACACTAATATCCCCATTGATATCTATATCACTGGTTTGATAGCAGTATTCGATATATGAGTTTCACAACTTTCAACATCCTTTGCCTGACATTCTGACTTCTCTGGAAAATGAGGTTGCGATGAAATAGATGAATTGAAATATTACAATCCCATCCCATTTACCGCAAAGTTGAGCCTTCCACCGATTGTCTTGAATTCACCATTGTCCTGGGAAGAACAGAGATGGCACGTTCTGTTTCAGTTCATATGTTTTACCAGGAAATGCCTGCTAAATTGCTAGAGCAAAGTATCGCACAACTGTCAGCGTTCCACCGCTCCAAACGAGCGGCGCCTCTTGGGCGGTGTCCAGTCCGACAGCCCGACCTGGATTCGGTCGTCCACCTCTAGACGGCGAGTCGTCGGCGGTGGCTGAACCCTTGCCACCGGTCAGCCGCCATGCCGACCCGGCTGCGCCCTCAGGCTGTATCCCGCTAACCTGGCCGTGCCCTCAGGATGAATCCTACTGACCGGGCCACGCCCCCAGGCTGCATCCTGGCCGAGCTGCACACCGGCTTTCCACTGTTCCCGGGCGAGAACGAGGTGGAGCAGCTGGCCTGCATCATGGAGGTGCTGGATCTGCCGTCCGAGGAGCTCACCATGCACGCCTCACGAAGGCGGCTCTTCTTCGGTGAGGCCGCGCCCACCGCCAGCCGAGCGGGCTCCTGCAGTGGGCACGCCGTCAGGGCTCACGTGGTTCGGCGCCAGTCGCGTTCTTTAGGCAACCTACGCGGAGTGTCGCCTGCTTTCGTGTTTGGTTGGAGAATCACCAATTGGGCGGGAATCATGTGTGACTTTGATTGGTTTGCAAAGATCAGGCCTTCAAAAATAACCAAAGTTGCATTTGGCTTGAGCATATATTAGGTGCTTTACCCATTCCTAGTAAAGAAAATTGATCGAGGTATCCCACTGGTCTGAGGATTAATGCACCGTAATGGTGCAAACAAATCGGCACTTAGCTGAGGTTGAAAATCTGTATTCCTGCTTGCTTATTTCGTTTGTCCGGAATAGTTCGTACTGGCATCTTCAACGACCAGAACTAAGTCGCAGCCGACTTACGTGCAGCATCGCCTGTTCAGTGCAAAGCGTCAGTACACATCGTGACCAACCATGAATTGGATCAACACATCGCCAGATGCAAGCTCTCCGTAATTTCCGACTGCTGGTCTCTAAGTCAAGAACTCTTTCGTTTCTAGTCCTGCCACTTAGTCAGTGAAGTCAAGGTGGTCCGGTGTCAAATGTCAGGGCCCTCTGACATTTGTGGCGGCGTGAAGGGATAAGGGCACGTTCCATTCGATAGCAGGAAGCGTGCGCCTGGAACTGTCAGTGTCGCATTACTTTACTGACAACGGTTCGTGGTATTCGTTCTCACATGCATGTCTCTTTGTTCCGCTTATGATGCAAAATAATCAAGGAAAAAGGTTGGATTAAAATCTACATCCTCGGCCCGGGAAAACTACTTATACCGAATATCTGACTTCCAAAGACTTCAGTCCGTTCGATCGCTTCCTGTGTTTTTACATCCCTTTTCCTTTGGCTAATTACTATTCCCAGTATCGTTTTAGGTTCAGGTTTTCGCTTTTTCTGACCCTTCAAGTTCATCCGCTCCATTAAACCGTTATCGAGGAAACGCTGTCATTCGGCGAATCCATTATTGCGAGCTCGCTTGTCCTTCGAATCCGTTAGGTACCCAACATCATTAAAACCAAGGCAAATTGGTTCGCCTCGCTTCGAAGCTCCTTCCACGTCTTCAAACCCCGCCCTTAAGTGTTTCGTCAATGCGACTCCAGTCATCTTTAGCAGGACCCCGCCGTCTCGAGCGTCGCCGGACTAAGCGTGTAGTTTTGGCGTTGCTAAGCCATCCTCCGGCAATGCGATTGGGTTCAGGTTTCATTGCATTATCTATCTCTACTCGTATGAAGTCGAGTTTTTTCATGACGAGCCTGATGGCTGGCGAAATGTAAGTCAGTATTTGAATAATGAAGGTGGAAAGCATTCTGGTAGCCATTACAACCAAACATTTTCCATGTGACGTCTTATTTTCCTCCAAGTGAAAGGGACTTTAAGCTCCTGATCCGTTTTACGTCAGATGTTCGCCTGCTCAAATTAACCGAGCAGCAGCATGCTGAGAGGTGCTGGTGAAATGGGGAGATCAAACAATGATTGGTATGTAGTGTCAAAATACTCGACGCTTTCAGCAGCGCTGGCAACCATCAACACTGCTTGGTGCGTCAGTTGCTACCGTGAGCATTGCCGGAGACGCCCAGTATTTTCGCAATACCTTACAATCATGGTTTCGCCACTGCACATTTCCAGCTAATCAGGGGCAGCACTTTGTGTACTTTCGGGGAACCTGAGCCCTCCTATGCTGACTTGGCATCCCTTAGTGCTCTTCTCAGCTACCTCCCCAATGCATATGGTCGAAAGGGAGCGCTGAGCCAATGAAATGCAGCAACGTTTTCTAACCTGTTGGTACAGCAGGTACCTAAACAGATCACAATTGATATCACGCTCATTTTATACCAAGTAGTATACTTTCGGTACCTACTGCGCTTATCATGATAGCTTCCTCGCATGTTAAGCTAGTCTGCGAGGGATAACACGTTTTCCATGAGACAAGAGTGATCAGGACGAAAAATAGACAGCAATATGCGGTGTTTTTAAGCTCAGAGTGGCCCAGATAACAGTTGACTTATGCTTTCCTCGATATTTGCAAGTGTATTTGTCGCACAATGACAACCGCGGTGGCATTTGACTGTCAGATCAATGGCCAAACGCGAACAGCGATATTCTCAGTCAGAGAGTCAACACCCGTTATACGGTGACTGCAAAGGACGCTTAAGCCCTCTGGCCTGATGACTCCTGATGATAAAACCTGATGGCCCTCTGGCAGTCTATGATGAGCAAGCGGCTCAAGCTGGTGCTGGTAGGCATGCTGTCCTGTCGATGTTGTCGACGGTGATGAGTCCTACCTACAGTCTGAAGGCGGCCTTGAGCACTAGTGAAGGTCCGCTAGCTTGTTCACGCGGACGGAGTTCTTCAAGTGACCTCACAGCGTAAGTCCACTGACGGCAGGTCAGCCGAGTGCGCAGTCGTTCCTCGGCAGTCTTACGCCGACGAGCATTCCATGGAAATGCTCCGCCAACAAATCTAGTGACGCCCGTGCCGTACGCAGTATCATCAGTCTCGCTGAAGTCCCTTCTTGCCCAAACCAGTTCCTTGAAATGGCCCCAGGGCCGCCCAGATGGATATCAGAGCGGAAGCGATCCAGCGTTGTGAGTTGGTGTCAGCAGGATCTCCAAGCAACAACAAAAGCAGGATCTTCGTTGTCGTCCTCCAAGCACCTCTTGTACGGTCACCATTTGACGATTGCGAGATGACTGATGACTGTCATTGTTTGCTTTCATGTTTTGCCATTACGTGGTCATTTGAATGCCCCTGCAGTCTTGATTATGCGAGAAACACACCAGTCACCGTTAAGTGAGACTTGGGCCAACTTTTACCTGGACCACCCTGTATTTACGGTAGTTTTGCAGAAAGGCTGTTATGGATTTTTTCTATCCTTTCCTAGCAAACCTGATGCTGTTGTATTGCATACCCAAGATTTTACGACGCGACCAGCAGACCTCACTCAATGTTCCGGATATACGTTTGCTCGAAAAGAATGGATATCTTAGGAGCATTACGTTTACACCACTGGGTAGCATAAGGTAGAGACACTGCACTCCGTGTCTGGGATAAGACTGCTGTCTTAGTAGCCATGCCGTGTGTGACATTGTAGTGCGTTATGACGGAGGCCGCCTTTCATTTTATAAGATTTAGTCCAAACCTTTTGATTGAATGCATATCCTGGGTGGCTGCCCACACTAAGCACTGCGTGTTGCGTGAGCCCTGACCCCACCACTCGATCGTAAAATTCCGGGTCAACGACATAATTTTACTGCCAGAGTTTGACGCACCGCAATACTCGGCGCGGTCCACCCTGGTCTATGACGTCAATTGAGCGTCAGCACGGTCGCTGCCAACGGCCGCAAACTATCTCAGTCAAGCTTACATAGCGAACGCCCTGAAGCGACTCGAACCCACCCCGCCACTGGTGGATGAATCGGAAGGCAGTCGCTCTAACGAACCGAGCTATTGGGACGGGTTGCAGTACACTGCTGAACGGAACGGTTTAAAGTTTTGTTCCGTGTGATATCTTCCACTTGGTTGCATCACAAAAATGGTGTCGGGGAATCGGAATCATCACATTTTGGCCCGTGGGCCTCAGAGTTAAGGTGACATTGGGGTAATATTGTTCTATTTTCCGAACAATATAACGGATGTTTATTAATGTGGTCGTTTAACTATAACATCCTGTTAAACTGAAAGTCGATAGTGTAACATGAAAACTCGCAACACATAACGCCGGAACACTAAGTTTCATGGTCGTCTTGCTTACAAGACTTCTAGCACGTGTAGAAGCGCTGGTGCAGACAGACAGTCACTCTGCCGCTGCAGACAGTCACTCTGGTAACGGTACAGTCACCAGCCTTTACCCGTTATGTTGTTCCAATGATCATGTCTTTTGCGAAGGTTGTGCAGCACAGTTTCATGCATTATGTTGGTATATCCTGGCAGCGTACGAGAGATTGTTCATGGCTTCTCGCCTGTACTAGTCAGGTCACGCTTTTCGACATCAAGCCGCCTTCTCTTGGGCCTCGGGCCACCATCCCTAAACTGAAAACGACACCTGCTCCTCTTATTCACGGCTGCTCGAGTCACCAGTATTTTCAATTCAGATAACGCACCAATCTAAGATTTCTTACAAAATGCAGCTTGCTGTCGGCTTCAGTATGGGACGTGATTCTTCAGTGTGGAAGCAATTTTGCGATCGACCAAATATTTTTTAAAGTCTGATATCGGGGATGAAATTTAAACTGGCCGAAGTCCGTAGAGTAATCAAGACATCTAGTCAGGTTAGGTCAAATGTACTGGCTCCGTCTCTGTCCCCCCCCCCCCCCCCGATCGATTTTAGAAAGTGACACCCCTGCAGCCAACAAAATCTCGCTGGGCCGATGATCACTGCAGAATGGTGACTCTCAGACTCGCGGTGGATCCTTTCCGTCATATATTTGCGAAACGTCGGCTGCCTTACCGGTGCGGAGCCAAATACACTGCACCATAGTAGAAGAAGTAATATCAAGGGGCCACAGACCTCACATCGGTTCAGACATGGGGCTGCAGACCCCTGGCCGCATCAGACATAGGGTCGCCGACCTCAGACTGCCTGAGACATAGGGTCACAGACTTCAGACTGCCTCAGACATAGGGTCACAAACCTCAGACTGCCTGAGACATAGGGTCGCAGACCTCAGACTGCCTGAGACATAGGGTTGCAAACCTCAGACTGCCTGAGACATAGGGTCGCAGACCTCAGGCCGCCTCAGATATAGGCCGACACACCACTGGTTGATAAAGACAACGGCTTACCCAGCCATTTAACAAAAAAAAGGATTACGGCGATGCTCGTCCCGTCACATGATACATAGTAGACATGCATGTAACGTGATATTTTTCGTTCAGATCCGGTCGAGTCGGTGACTTGACGTGGCGTTCCTTGACCTGGCAGACTCGCGGGGTAACCCCCGCACCATCACCAACACGAAGGGTCGGCGGCGGCGGCCGGCGAGCCGTCCGCTGGCGGCGGCACTCAAGACCACCGACCCCGTGTTCGTCGACTTCATAGAGAAATGCCTCACGTGAGTCACGCTGAGTCGAGGCATGCAGTCGAAGCCACGGAGTCGAACCGAAGGAAATGTATCACTAGTCATTATCACTTGAATCCATTTTGGGTGTTTGGAAGATGAAGGCGGATTTTTTCATATTGGCTTGTCATATTATGACTGTCTCGAAACCTTCCTTCGTACTCAGAATGGGGCTCGACCGGCAGTTGACAGTGATGTCGCCGCCCACCCCTGACCCTGCTTCTGCCGCCCCCAGCTGGGACCCGGCACGGCGCCTGACGCCGGAGGAGGCCGTGCGGCACCCGTTCCTCAGCGGCCGTGTCGGCGCGCTACCGCAGCCGCCGGCGCCGACCGTGACCGCCGCCGATGAGGCCGCGTTCAGCATCTACAAGATCTACCGCGGCCGCAAGCCAGCGCGAGAGCTGGCGTCGGCCTCGGCCGTGGAGGAGGTGGGCGCGGCGCCGGTGCTCGGCGCGCGCGCCAGCCGGCAGGACGGCCGGCGCAGCAGCGTCGAGCCCGAGTCCGTCGAGCGCGAGACGGCGCCGAGCGCGACCGAGTCGGCCGAGCGCGAGCCGCGGCCGGCCGAGGAGGGCGAGCGCGCCGCCCGCACCGGGCCGCCCTCAATCGAGCCCGTGCACGACGAAGGCGGCACCTTTCTACCGCCGATCCTGTAGGGGAGCGGAGTCTGCGGGCGCTGCGCTCGGCTGCGGCGACGGTGAGGCCGGTCAGGGACTCTGTTACGACATGTCTCAGGTGCGAGGCCTGCAGTCTGCCGTCAGACAGGCTCTTGGACTCCGTTTTGCCTGCCCTGGCCCGCGGCCCGAGCTTTGGCAAAACCGAACGTGAAGTGAAGGTCGAGCCTGTCACGTACACCGCGCGACGTGTCTTGGTGGTCGTTACCTGTCAGCCTGGTGACCGTGCGGCTCGTCCGGTCCCGCCGCTGTGCCCTTGTCGCCCCGGCCGGCCGCGCTCGGTCCAGCTGCCACCAGGCTCGTGACCATCTGGACGGCGCACTCTGACCCGTGGGGACGGAATGTGTCGGCGTCACGCGGACACGGCGTCCAACGGCCTGGCTTGGCTAGTCAGGTCAACACCTGGTTGCCGGAGTAGGCCCGGAGTGTGAAACTCCGCCACGAGAGGGAATCGGTCCATATCCCATCCTTATGTCTGAGGCTGATCATGTAGCTTGAATGAGCCGCGCTCGTAGGGTTTGGTCAGGGATGTTTAAGATGGGTGTAATTGAAAGGAAACAAATGTTAGGAAATTATATCACTGAATTTTATACATACACATATATAGGATCAAACACAGGATGTATATATTTATGATATTGAACCAAAGATCAAACCAAAGTACTTTCGTGTGCGTGTTTGTATATATTTGAATGTTATGATGTGCGTGTATGTGAATGTATGTTGCTATCTTTGGTTCTGGGAGAAGGAATATTTTGTTAAACAATAAACGATATGTGCATGCAGCTTTGTGTACACATATTCATGCAGACCCTGGAAGATCTCAGCCATTCAAAATTATATGCCTGTGTCATCCCGCCTGCGTTGGCTTGAAGTGGCCAAGGGCCAGGTTGAGTGCGATAAAAGTTAGGTTCAGTGCAATATCACGGTTATGATATGTGCAACCGATGAAATACTGCGTGCATTAGTCACAGTTTTCGAGCATCTCGCATGATGTTTTCGGCATCGCTTACACGTCAGAGAATCAAACACGTTGCAGTCACGCGATCAGCATGCCAGGAGACAGCAGGGCGCTGTGCGTGCGGGTGCGGAATAGACCCAACTTTCGGAAGCTCTATCGAGGCGGATGTAATCACTTTTAAGCGGATGTAATATCACGATTGCGATCGGTGCCGAACAATGCGCGACCTTCACGCCGAGGGCACCCTGCATGCATCGGTAACGGCTCCGAGACCATTGCATAACACGGTGGGCATCGTCTTAGGGTGGCAGGAACGCAAGCACGCGACGCACGTGCTGTAATGAAAGCTGTGCGTGCACTATGCACGATCGGCCTAGCCGTAAATCGTCGGCCCATGCAGTTGCAGTTACCCACGCCACGCGGCAACACTTGACCTAAGCAGAATTTGATAGTTTGTAGTCAGCTACCTGTGTGTGTGTGTGTGTGTGTGTGTGTGTGTGTGTGTGTGTGTGTGTGTGTGTGTGTGTGTGTGTGTGTGTGTGTGTGCGTGCGTGCGTGAGTGCGTGCGTGCGTGCGTGCGTGCGTGCGTGCGTGCGTGCGTGCGTGCGTGCGTGCGTGCGTGCGTGCGTGCGTGTGTGCGTGCGTGCTTGTGTGCCTCGCATTATTTTAGTCGTTTTCACTAGACCGCATGTCCAAGAGGGGTTGACCAAAATATCGATACTCCGAAATCCACGAAGTGCTTCTGTGATTTCACATGACAAAGCAGACATCAATGGCGCCTGTTTTCTGCGGAAAAGAGATTTTCAGCTCAGATTATCGGTCACCCTTAAAGCATATTTTCTTTCCGCAGTGCAGCTCAAGTGACAGAAGCTTGCAGAAGGGACCCTTTTGACACGAGCTCGGGGGTCAGTTTGACCCATCCCCCAAATATTTTTCCTAAATGATTTATGAACAGCGCGGCGTGGCCGCGCGAAACTCTGCATAGCTGTGAACCTTAAATAGAAAGTTGTTTGGTTTTAAGAACTTAAATGTATCTTGTAAGGTCACTGACTTATGGTCGGTCAAGGTCAGGTCATTATTTCAGCGAAAGCGAATTTTAAAATTCTGATGCAACAACAGTGTGTTAGATGAAGCCATATATCTCTGACATAGTGCTTTAGTCAACGGCATAAATGTAACAAATCTTTATTGAACCAGGGTTAGTCAAAAAGAACATACCAAGGCCAAAGGCAGCCTGCCTTTTACTCAAGATCTTGCTGTGTGGGGGTATTCTCTGGCGCTCATCTTGCATTTTTTTATGACAGGAATCGCATAACACATCTTTTGTAGGCTTCTTAAATGTCAAAAAGGTCAATGAAATAAAATGACCCAGGTAGGCATTTTGAGCTTAGGAGTATGTCGCATAGCGTAATCCTTGACGCTTATTCAAATGCCACAATCAAAGCAGTCTTGTCCGATTTTGGTCGCCATGACCTTCTAAACGTCAAACGAGTTCACTGAACTTAAATGAGCAGAAGTGACTTTTTGCTCTTAGAACAAGTACCTGGCTTTACGGCGGTTGCATGAAAAGGTCTGGGACACTTTGGATACCAATTTGGAGTTGAGCTTTGTTTTTGTTTTACCTTCTTTGGCCAAAAAGTCGTGATCTGGGAATCTGATATTTTTATATGAATGCGTTCAGGTGCAGGTTAAGACACCCTGTGAGTTTGGTGCATCGAGGTCTGTTGATTTTTTTAGGTCTCGGTGACAGACGCACCTCGGACAGACGGACCCGAACGAAGGGTACCGAACCGGCCGTCCGGGCACATGTTAACATGGACCGTTTAATGACGCCATGCAATTCATGATTCGCAGATGCACGCTCCGATGAAGAACGTGGTGTGAGCAAGCGTTTTAAGCTGAAACAAAACCAGGCGCACCAAGTGAAACGATCTCTTATAATGTGCCTGGTGACAATGACTGAGATTTAGAGAGCATCGCAGAATTGACTTCCAAGTGAGAAGTTTGAAATGGCGCCATCATAGAAGCACGCGTTTTCAAAACAAGTTGCGAATTGGAGCTAATTTAAATGGCCATTGCTGACAAGATTTGCTCCAGCAGGTGGAAAGAGACGGTGGCTTGAACGACGTCATGTGGAAGAGGCAGTGACGCCGTGGCGTAGTCAGGAACCCTGTAGCACAGATACAGGAAACAGCAAGAAGCGAACCGAACGCGACATAATGAAAAACATGGTTTTAGAACGCTCGCAGCTTTTCGTACTCACCAACAGTGCTCTAGACGGAGTTATATGGAGATAATTTCGATTATGAGAGCAAAGCTACATACCAGACTCCTTCTGACGCCAAACCGGATGATGTAATGTGGCAAACAGAATGCAGCCTTTACAGCGCCTATGTTTCAGCGACACTCAAATAAGCGGTATTACCCGCGCCCTAGCGGTGTTATTTTCAAGAATTTGCATTATCAGTAAGCGCTACCAGGCAAGGTCACATACCGCGTCTGTTAAGTTTAACTGGCAGCTCAAATACCTGCAGCATGCTTCGTAAGCAGTGCATGCTGACACGATGGACAATGGCAGACCGAAGTCGCCGCTAGCCAACGGGTGGCCTTGCCCAGCCGCGTCACGCCTGCTGCGACAAGCGCTAATGACTCATGTCCGACGAGCGCGCCCCAACGCCGTGAGACCGTACAAGCGGCAGGTCGTCGTGATGTTGCACAGGCTGTGTGGTAGCACGGCGCAATCTCGTATAGTGCCCACCTGTGCCGGCACGTGCTGGGATCTAGCGTGCTGGGCTTATTGTCTGGAGCGGTGGACAGCTATCAGGAGCTATCCTGTAGCCGGAGATTGCGCTTTTTATGCAGATAAAAAATTGTCTGGCTGCGTTAACCGGCCCAGCCCGACTCCATCCAATCCCATTGCGCGCAGGAAAAAAACGCGAAACGTTTTGCACCGGCATTGATTGTACAACAAAGCAATACTGATGTTTTTTGGTCCACGTTTTCTTGAATACTTAAGATCATTTCAGTCATGGCCCTCCGGAGGCCATTCAAAGGAAGTACGTAGATGATTGCGGTTGATGAAAAGGACCCACAAATAGTAAACATGTCCTGTTGCATATTTGCATGATCACAGAGGACAATGTTGCAAATACGTTCGGTCAACCTCGGCCCAAGCAGGTTTAGTCGTGCGAAGTAGTTATCACTAGATCCGTGCCACCAGTATGAGCTATATACAGCAGCTATCATAGATTATGTTGCATCAGGCGACCCTTCACGGTTCCAAGGTTAGGAACATCCATTTTTTGCTGTTATTTCTCTTCATGAAGCGCTTACTGTAAGATGGGTCAAAAATGGTTTTTCGTCATCTAGTCATCTTTGTCCATGTCAAAGAATGTTTCGATCACCTTCAAACCAGCGAGAACAACGCTACATGTATCTCCGATGGTGCTGGGGACCAAGCTCCTAGAAATCTTCAAGGCAATGCTTTAAGTTTTATAGAACCGCTACGTAAGGAATGTGCACCGTGTCGAAAATCAAACGCCAACCGGCGTCAGCGTTTCACATCCTGTCATTTGTCCTTTTATTCTGTTAACACTCGCCCGGGTGGCCGGTTGGATACCCCTTGCTAAAGTGGGGTCAATTTAACCCCCTGAGATTTCAGGAACTAAAAGAACTAGAAACACCAAATTTACAGGGTGTGTTGGTCTACACTTGAAGTCCTTATGTCTAAGTTTAAGATTTCTAGATTATGACTTTCGGGTCAAATAAGGTAAAAAAGATCAAGTTTCAGGTT